CCCTGACAACCTACGGGCAGGGCATCCCCTACGATAGCATCGACACAGCCATCTGGTGGGAACCCACGGGGCACACCTTCTTCTTCCGTGGGGACAGGTGAGTGTCCGTGGGGTCCTCTTCCCTGCTCTGCTGTCTCCTCGCCCCTGGCAGGGGCGCGCATGGCAGGCGGCAGAGACCCCTGTGCTCCTCACCCGCTCACCACTTCCCTCCCCCAGATACTGGCGCTTTAACGAGGACACCCGCTCAGTGGACCCCGGGTACCCGAAGCCCATCTCCGTCTGGGTGGGCATCCCTCCCTCACCCAAGGGTGCCTTCCTCAGCCCGGATGCCTGTAAGTAGAGGAGGAGAAGAGGGGTGGGTGGCAGCGGGGGGACCAGAGGGGATGGAGGCACCCGTCCCAAGTCCATCCTACAGGACTTCATGGGCTGGCACACGGAGCTGGTCCCAGACCCCCATCCCCACTGGCCTGATGGGGACCAACTCCCCTTCAACCCTGACGGGGATGGAGGGACCAGAGGGGATGGGGATGGGGTCACCCTTCTGGTGGCCTGGCCACGTGGCCACGTGGGATGGCGGCCGGGAAGATCCCCGGGAGTGAGCGGTGAAGCCCTTTCTGAAGGATTTCACCAGTCCCGTAGCAAAACCTGCTGTCCTGGGCATCTGCAGGGCACCCAGGTGGTAGGGTGGCCTGTGCCTGCCTACTCACCCCTCGCCTCCATCTTTTCCCCCGCCAGCCTCCACCTACTTCTACAGAGGCACAAAGTACTGGAAATTCGACAACGAGCGGCTCAAGATGGAGCCGGGTTATCCCAAATCCATCCTACAGGACTTCATGGGCTGTCACACGGAGCTGGTCCCAGACCCCCATCCCCGCTGGCCTGATGGGGACCGACCTCCCTTCAACCCTGACGGGGATGGACGGACCGAAGGCAAGGAAGAAGAAGAGGAGGAGGAGGAAGACGAGGAGGATTACGGCAAGGATGGCCACCAGCCGGGCGGGGATGTGGACGTGGTGGTGGAGATCGATGCATACACGCGCACCATGAGCATCGTCATGGTGATACTGCTGCTGGTGCTGGTGCTCTGCATCCTCGGCCTCATCTACATCATCGTCCAGATGCAGAGGAAGGGCGCGCCCCGGATGCTCTTGTACTGCAAGCGCTCCTTGCAGGAGTGGGTCTGAGCCTGGCCCCCTCCCCAAACC